AACACAAGCAGGGGGAGTGGGAGAGGGAGAAGCAGGCTTCCCGCCGAGCACGTAGTCCGATGCGGGGCTCGATCCCAGGACCCTAGGATCATGACCTGAGCCGAAGGCAGACGCTCAACAGAGCCACCCAGGCGCCCCTAAAGATTTTATTTATTTATTTGAGAGAGAAAGAGAAACAGCATGACAGGGGAGAGGGTCAGAGGGAGAAGCAGGCTCCCTGATGAGCAGGGAGCTCGATGTGGGACTCGATCCCAGGACCCTGGGATCATGACCTGAGCCGAAGGCAGTCGCTTAACCAACTGAGCCACCCAGGAGACCCCCCAAAAAAGATTTTATTTGTCAGAGAGAGGGAGAGGGAGGGAGGGAAAGAGAGAGAGAGAGCACAAGCAGGGGAAGCAGAGGGAGAAGCAGGCTCCTCCCTGAGCAAGAAGCCGGATGGGGGACTCAATCCCAGGACCCTGGGATCATAACCCGAGCCGAAGGCAGACGCTCACACCCGACTGAGCCACCCAGGCGTCCCTCCCTCTATTACTTTAATTCAGACCTCATCCATTCTTGCTGGATCACTCCTAACTGGTCTCCCTGCTTTTACTGGCTCACACCTGCCATCCTAGCCTAGAATATTAACACTTCAATGACTTTATCACCCGCAAAGCAAAATCCAAACTCCCTGTGGAAACGGGAGTCCCTCCCACAGATGTGGGTTTACCACCACCTACTACCGGAATACTTTTTTTTTTTTTTAAGATTTTATTTATTTGACAGAGAGAGACACAGCGAGAGAGGAAACACAAGAAGGGGGAGAGGGAGAGGGAGAAGCAGGCTTCCCGCCGAGCAGGGAGCCCAATGCGGGGCTCGATCCCAGGGCCCTGAGATCATGACCCGAGCCGAAGGCAGATGCTCAACGACTGAGCCACCCAGGCACCCCTGGAATACTTTTTCTAACCACTCTCACCTCTGGGTCTCTACACCTGCCAGCCACTCTCCTTGCACTCCTCTCCCAAATCCTCACCGGCTAACTTTCAAGACTCAAGGCTGCTCGCTCGCTCAGTGCACGTAGCGGGTAGGCAGAGTTCCCGGCCTCCAGCCCTCGCCCGCGGAGACGCGGCTCACCTGCAGCTGCAGCACTTCCTGCTCCTTGAGCTGCGCCCAGGCCTCCGCCTCCCGGGCCCGCCGGGCTTTCTCCTCCGCCTGCCGCTGCTCCAGCTCCCGCGCCTCCTGCCGCAGCCTGGCTAACCTGGGGTGGGGTGGGGTGGGGTGGGGTGGGGTGGGGTGGGGCAAGAGGCTGACCCTGAGCGCGGCTGGGTCTCCCGCGCGCCAGCCAGCGGCCCGTCCCGCCCCGCCTACCGGCCCACTCACCGCAGCTCGAGCTCCCGCGCCTCCTGCCGCAGCCTGGCTAACCTGGGGTGGGGTGGGGTGGGGTGGGGTGGGGTGGGGTGGGGTGGGGCAAGAGGCTGACCCTGAGCGCGGCTGGGTCTCCCGCGCGCCAGCCAGCGGCCCGTCCCGCCCCGCCTACCGGCCCACTCACCGCAGCTCGTGCAGCCGCTGGTTCTCCGCCTGGTTCCAGGCCATCAGGTCGCGGTGCTCGGTGGCATCTTGCAACGCCTTGCGCTCTGCCAGGACCCCGGCCCGGGCCTCGTGCACCTTCTTCCGCACCTCGGACACGAACTCCAGCCTGGGCGGAGACGCACCCAAAGTCGGCACCCTCTATGCCCGCCCGCTCCGATACACCGCCCACGGCGCCGACGGCCACCTCCCCCTTGTCACACACACCTGAGGGCGCGCACCGTCTGGCGGTACTGCCGGTAACGCTCCGTCAGCAAGAAGAATTCTACAGGATCCACCGCGGGCGGGGTCGCCACGCGCCCGACCTTGGACTTGGCCGGAGGGTCGTGGCGGGTCTTGCGGCCGCGCACGGGCAGCACCAACTGGGCCGGGGGCCCACACAGGGACCCCCGGCCCAGGGATCTCAGCGCGTGCAGCATGGCCCAGGCAGCCGGGCGTCCGGCGCGCCGCAGGGCATCACGGGACCCGGAAGCGGCCGCGGGGCACCACGGGACGCGTAGTCCGCGGGCCCCGCCTCCCACCCCCTGGAGGCCGCTCGGGGGTCGCGCGCCTGCACACTTCTGCGTCTGCCCCAGGCCCACTGGCTCTGGCTGCTCCCTCCCAGCGGGATCGGCCCCGCCCAGCCCTGTGTCCCTCCCGCCCGCGGGCCGGGCCCATGTCCCTCCAGCCCCCACGCGGGGTAGGGTCTTAGGGTGGGCGAGGAAGGGGACAGAGGAGAGAACTCGAGGCAGCAGCGTCAGGGACTTCACATCTTTATTGGAGGGCGACAGGGCGCGGCGCTCTACGTCCGGTCTGCGGGGGGTAGGGGTTGGTCATTCCAGCGGACGCCCTTGTCACCTGGCCGCCCGGCTGCGACCTTGTCCGCCCCCACCCCTCTTGACCTGGTTTTGTGGAGGAGGATGCTGTCGCCAGGCGGACGCCCCCTGCCAGCTAGAAGACCCAGCTGGGGGCTCTGTAGCCCCCTGGGCGTGCTCGACCCTTAACACACCTGGTTTGTAAAACCTGAACTCACACCGACTTAATTAGGTGGTAAGTTTTTGCCTTACAGGAATTTACAACTTCTTCAGTTACCGCTCTCCGGTGCACTTTAAATTTGCAAAATATCAACAATCCATCTCTGCACACCAATCTTCTGCAATCACTGTCATTCCTAGTGCGTGTCAGTGACCACCTGGTTCTTGGTGTACCCCTCACCTCTTTCCACCGACTGAGGGCCTGCCCACCTTCTCTTGACAAGAAAGAAGCCTGGAGGACCCCACTACAGTCAGTCTTATTTATGGAGGTTTTCAGTACAATTATCTCCACTCCACTAGTGACTTCTAATCTTTTACTTTAACCTAAGTATCTTACAAATTGTCTAGAATTCTGGGAAATAGAAAGGATAGCAGATAGCATCGTGTATGTGCCTGGGCCTGCCTTGGCAGGGGGTGTCTCAGTGTTGTCTCATTACCCCTCTCTTCTGTCCCCACAGCCGCCAAGTCCTTAGCCCCAGTGGCCCCTGCTGGCCAAGGCCGGGCCTCTCCCTGTACTTACCAGCAGTGTCTGCACCAGGTGCTGCTTCCGGTGGAGGCCACCAGCCTGTGGTTCTGCCCTCCCACACTGTTCTTGGGGGGAGCCAGGGCATCGCTTGGGAGGTCAAGGGCAGTCTGGTCTGGGCTGCTTGCTGCGGCGCCCAGGGCCCTTCCTCAGGAAGGAGCTGAGGCTGTGGCCAGCCCACTACTCCCACCCCAGGCTCACAGGAGGTGAAGGAGCCCCAGCCAGCGCCTTCTTCCTCCCACTTAGACTGGGGAGACCCTTAACCCACCTAGGAGCCTTGGGGCATGCTGGGGGTGCTGGGCTGAGCTGGAAGCTTGTTTTCCTCCAGGGTACCAGCCATGGGACCAGTGCTGAGCCTTCGAGGATCCAGGGTGGACGATCAGCAGCAGCAGAAAGCCTAGCCTGCAATGGGCCATGGCAGGTCTGCTCCCATGGAGAGTGGATAGCACTCAAGATGAGACACTTCCATCCATACCTCCTTCCTTTTCTTTCAGGGCTCCCTTGGACAACTGGCAATTCAGGGGCAGCTTTAGTGTTTCCTAATGTCCTTCCCTCTTCTGCCACTGCTCCTCATCCCAGGACTGTAGGGATCTGCACCCCAAAGGCTCCTGGCAGCTAGTCTTCCCCAGAGCCCCCTGGGGTGCAGAGGATCCCAGCCTTGCCAGCTGAGGACTGTCCTCAGTCCATCAGGCCTATCCCTCCTTCCTTCAGGGATTCCAGAAGTGGGAGAAGGTTGGGAAGAGGAACAGAGACTTGGGTAAGGGGAGCTCTCCAAGAGTAGCAGCAATGTAAGGGCATTTGGGGCACCTGGTGCATGGCACGCTGCCTCTGTTCTCTGTGGTTTGCCATCTCTTCCATGGCAGGTAGGGATATGGAATGGATGTGTGGTGGTGACAGGGGCAAGTGCTTCTACCCCTTGTCCCTCCTACACTAGAGGCAGCAGGCAGAGGAACAGTGTTGGGGAGAGAAAGGGAAAGGTGTTTTGTTTTGTTTTTTTTCCTGGGACATGGTTCATGGGTAGGACAGGGACTTGGGAGGGAGAAAAGGAACAGTGTGCCACACACCCAGGACAGACTTCCAGCCAGAAGCCCCAGCCCTTGGGGAGAGCAGCCTCTTCACTCACCAAGGGAAAGCTGTGGATGAGGTGGCTCCTTGAGGTGGCTCCTCCAGGCGACAGTAGGACCCCCAGACAGCCAGCTCTGGGATTTATTGATCAGCTGACTCCACCCCGTTCCTGGTCCACACACTCCCGTGACGTCTCAGAGAGGGAAGGGGGCAGCCTGCCACCCAACACCCTTCCCTTACCAGTGTGTGTTCCTAGTGTATTTTTAGTCAGTGGCCCTAGGGTCACCAGACAGATTGCTCCCTCTCCATCTTCCCAGGGATCTGAAGTGGTAAGACTCCAGCTCCAGCCTGGCCAGGCCCTCAAGAATCATCTTCCCACTTCCCAGGAGGCATCCTCAAGCTCCTGCCCTTTGGCCTACAAAGCGCTCAGTCTTCTCTGACCCAACAAGTAAACTGTGGCCTGGAGGTGGCAATGCCTGGGGACCCTGAGTCCCACACAGTTGGCAGCCTGAGTGGGGAGCCCAGCAACCTGTGAAGAGGTCTGGGGGAAACTATGAGGGCCTGAGGGCTTGTTTGCCGCACTGTAAACCGGGTTGATGGAGCGGTCCTCATCCACACACCTGGGCACCAGGGCTGGGTCACTCCAGACGGAGGTAGGTTTGGGTGGGGCACACCTACCCCCAGGTGGTTTTTCTCTCCTCCCAGGAGGCCCATGAGCCGGGGCCCAGCTAAGGGGGCAGTGCAGCATCTGTGGGCCTATGAAAGAGCAGGGTGTAGGAATAGTTTTGCCTCTCAAGGTTCCAAGCCTTCCCCTGTGCTCAACCCAGGACTATTCATGGAGTTAGGCACAGCTAATCTAGGACACTCAAAACGTGCCCCCACCTCTCAATCTGCGTCAGCTCAGCTTTCTCCCGCCAGCTATTAGCCTGGGGGTCAGGGGGAGGCAGAGGCCTGTTTACAGGGTTAATAGCCAATCTCCACATTTGGGCTGAACAGCAAATGCAAGGGCCAGGGTCAGGCTTGGCGTGGGGTGGCCAGTCGTTAGGAGAGCACGTGCGTCAAATCCTGTGGTAAAGATGGGGGAGGGGATGGCGTAACGGGCACCGCAGTCATCAACAGGGCGCCTGGACTTCAGCTGCCCAGCCAGGAAGGCACACATGAACTTCCAAAATGACTTATCTTTAGCAGGGACCCGAAGCCACTGTATATTCAGTTAAATTGTTTTGGGAAATACACTTTGTTCCTATATGTGTTGGTTAACCAAGTAATTTTTAGGGAAACATTTGTTTTGTGGTTTAGTGAAAATGACTGAGTTCAATAAACTAGCTTAGTTCTGGTTTGGGTTTACAGAATGTTTTATTCAAAGTCCCCTGTGTTTATTTTAAAAGAGGAATGGGGTGCCCTTATTTTTTCTGTAATTTGTTTGTGGTTTTCCTTAAAAAATCCAAACCAGAACTAAGCTTCCCAGGGGATGCTCTGGTTCCTTTCTGGCAACATCCGTAGCTTTTCAAGAACGTTTGCTGTCTCCTTTCAGAATACAGACTCAGAAATTCATCCTCCTATCCCTCTCAGCAGGGCACAGAAAGCCATTTGTTCACCACTGAGCTCCAACTAATGGTCGGCCCTGAGGATAGGACTTTATTCGTCTGGGAGCTGCTTGTAGTCAGCTGGGAAAGCAGAGGCTTAGTTAGAGCTGAGTGCTCAGGTGCTGCTGGAGCACAGAGGGGCACAAACCCCGGATCAGAGGGTCTGGGTGAAGGATGACAGTGAGTTAGCCAGAGTCTGCACACAGGGTGGCTGTGGTGCTCCCACGTAAGGAACAAAAATGGAGAAGAGTCAACACAGGAACTGCCAGTGGAGAGAGGTGCAGAGAATGCTGGAAGGCCGCAGGAAGGGACGGGAGACTCTGGAGAGCCCGGGTGAACCTCTAGGCGGTGGGAGTGTGAGGCAGGTGCGCGTGGGTCACCCCATATAGTCACTTGGCAGGCAGCAGGATATGCCGCCCCGGAGCCCAGGACGGGAGCTCAGGGTTGGAGAAGGGCTGAGGGTCCGCCACATACCGACCACAGGAATGCCCGGTCTCTGGGGACGGAGAAAGAGGCGCAGCAGAGGCTACAGAGTGAGGATAAAGTCAGAAGGGAGGGACTAGTGGACACAGAGTGGGTCCGTGGTGAGCGGTAAGAAAGGGATCTGTGGGGCGAAGGGTGGAAGAGAGGACAGTGAGTCAGGAGACTATCAGCCTGGGGGCAAAGTGCCTTTTTTTTTTTAATTAAAATCAAAGACTTGTGCATTTGGTGGTGATGGTGGTGGAGTGCGAAGGAAACTGAACCACCAGGAGTGCGCGGACTTGATGAAGTGAGGTCTGAGCACAGTGGGCACTAGATGCCTCGCTCCCTCTTCTGAGACATCCTCACCGGCTCTAGCTCCAACTCCGTGCGGCACAGCCAGCTAGCTGAGGGGCCCCCCAGCCGTTCCCACATGATTGTTCGGGGTGAGCCCTGATCCACTTCCCGTTAGCCTTGACTAGTTCCTGTTGGGTTTATGTCTCTTGCAACCATACAAGTCCTGCTTGAAGACATCTGTTCAGCAGCCAGATGGTATTTAAAATATTGACCCAGGGGCACGGGTGGCTCAGTCAGTGAAGCATCTGCCTTCGGCTCAGGTCATGATCCCAGGGTCCTGGGATTGAGTCCCGCCTTGGGCTCCCTGATCGGCAGGCAGCCTGCTTCTCCCTCTCCCTCTGTTGCTCACCCTGTTTGTGCTCTTTTGCTCTCTCAAAAAAAATAAAGTCTTAAAAAAATATATATACACACTATATATATATATAATACATGTATTACATATATATTTATATATATATAATACATGTATTACATATATATTTATATATATATATATATAATACATGTATTATTTATATATATATATATATATATATATATTGGCCAAGGGGCGCCTGGGTGGCTTGGTTGGTTAAGCTTCTGCCTTCGGCTCAGGTCATGATCTCAGGGTTCTGGGATCGAGCCCCACGGCAGACTCCCTGCTCAGCGGGGGGTCTGCTTCTCCCTCTGCTACTCCACCCCGCTCATGCTAATAATAAATAAAATCTTAAAAAAAAAAAAAAAATTGGCCAAGCCACCAAGCAAATCAGCATGGACTTCAGCAGCAAGTGGCCAGGCCACACTGGTGGGTAGGTAGAGGTACTCAGGCCTTCTGTAGGAACCCTGGTACACACTGGTGTGTAAGCTGCTCAACACCAGCCCTAGCAACAGGAGGTGGGCAGCCTGCTGGGACGTAGGGAGGCAGCGCAGGGCACATGATGGGCTCTCCTATCAGTCTGCCATGTAGCTTGCTGACCCAAGGCCTGCCCTCCTCCATCTGTCAGGACTTGGTCATAGAGGCACCAAAAGATAGTTTGCAAAGAGCCAGGGTCTCCTTCCCAAACATGGTACCTCTCATCAGAAATCCTTCTCAGATCGCTTAATTTACTCATGCTTTGAAAACCACCGAGTTTTGAGTTTATTGCCGCTCGGAGTTCCTTAGTTCTTACAGAAGGACCAAGTACTTCTGATGTACACTCACTTCTCAGAAACTTGCAGAGGTGGTCTGTCACAGTGGCCCTGCCTCCCGTAGGTACCCTGACTATGTGGTGGTGAACTCGGCTCCCATCTTGGAGCCACTGCATCTGTTCACCTTCTGTAGGGTTCTGAGGCCTTCTGTAATGTGGCTCCATGTGACCTTGCCTCCTTTCACTCATCCAAATTTCCAGCATCCCTGGGTCCAGTTCAAGTCCCACCTCCGCCAACAAGCAGAGCAGCAGTGACCTCTGAGTGTGCCTCCACGGTCCAGGCTGGGGTGCCACTTCTCAACTCCTGACGGCCTGAGTCGCCCAGGGCCTGCCCCTGCTCCTTGAGAAAGGCCCCATGGGCCTTAAGACTCTCTCAGCCCCGCACTGACGGCTGTGCCAACTAAAGATGACATTTCCCAGCACTCCTGTAGTCACACAGTGTAGCCTTATGACTAGGTTTGAGCCAACAGGGGTGAAAATGTAAAGAAGAGCTTTTGCTTCATGTCCTTAAAAATGAAGTTGCTTTCTCTCCATTTTCTTTTCGCTTCTCCATGGGAAAAGACAGTGATCCAGCTTCAGCCATGAGGACAAGAATAACATTCTAAGGGACACTGGGACCAAAAGACGGGAGAACACTGGGTCTCTGGACTGGGCACCCCATTACATGAGAAATAAATGAACATCCATGTTATTTAAGACACAAACGCTAGACGCTTTTGTATAATGTTAGGCTTGATATCAAGTTGGGATTGAAGACGCCTACCATCCTGGCCTCTGGATCTG